TCTGACAGAACCGTGAAATTGTTCTAAATACAGAGCAGCGAATTCGATCAAAAGGCGCCGCGAGGCGGCGCTGTTCGCGCTTCGCGCGGATATCCGGGCTGCAGATCGTCTAGGGACAGCGCGTCTCCCAAGGTACCGAATTCTCTGCCTAGAGGGCCTTATTATTATTATTTTGAATTAGTGATAGGGTTAGGGTTGGGATTAGGGTTAGAGTTAGGATTTGGGTTAGGGTTAACTGATTTTATTAATTGTTAATTAATAATGCGCCATCTAGCGGATCACTATCTCTCCCCTGAAACCTACTATTTCGGACTTGGGAGACGCGCTGGCCCTAGTGGTATCCGAAGTAGAAGACATGTCCCACAATACTTCATGTCTACAATACAATTACAAATACAATACACAAATGTGACAATATACAATAGCTTTTTCGTTTCCCTCCTTCCTCCCTGTCCCCTGCCCTACCTCATGCTGTACCAAGGATATAAGAGGTGTCCACATTTGCACATGTCACACATTGTGAAAATGAATTGGGGACAGCTCTTATATCCTTGATCTTCTCTATCTCCTCTTTCCTCTGTCTTCTCCCCTCCTCATCTACTGCCTCTGTCCTCTACTTCTCCCTCCTCCACTTTTCCCCCTTCTCCTTGACCTCCTCCGTCCTCTACTATATGGTTCCTCCCTCTGCCCCTGTCTTCACCCAACTTCCTCTGCCAATTTTAGCCATTCATACTCGATTCCCCTTTTACTTTCAGGAGACTTTCACTTTCTTTCCTTTCTAGTCAGTTGTAAAATTGAAATGCTTATTGCTGCAATCTTTTGCTCCATTTCATCAATGTTGAGTTCTCTCCTTCTTCATTAGAGTCCCTTGAACTATGAAGAATGTTTAGTGGAAGAATATGAGGTTACTCTATGACACTTGTATGTATGTGAATGGTGTACAGTGTAGTGATAGCATTACTCATGTGGATGTTTACCACTTATCAGGTGACAACCACTGAGCGAGTTACATAGGCCTAGTTGAGTGGTTAATCACATTCCATAAAATGGTGCATCAGGCATCAATGTGAGTGTGATTTTTAAATGTGAGAGTTAAACTGTGTGTTCTACCTTTAATATTACATAAATTTTCGTAATCCATTCATTTTACAGTTATGTAGAATCATTTGTTGACATAAAGCATGACAGATCAAGCGGGGTCTGTGGCTGGACCTGGCAGTGTCGGTCCGCCAGGAGCACCACCGGGAACACAGCCTGAAGAGGAGCTTACTATACCAAGAGCTTCAATGAACAAAATGATTAAGGTTTACTATCTCTTCTGCTATAATCATTTATATAGTTGTATGGGATATAGTTAAACAAATATTAAATAGTAGGTGTGCTCTTTATTAGATACTAGCCTGGTACCTGGCGTTGCTCGGGGAAAAAACGCTTAGGAACAACTTTTAAGAGCAAATTCAGCCACATATACTTACTTAATTCTAAAATAGTTTCACCTCCCCCCCCCCCTTTACCCATATGATCCCCATCAGAAAGGAAAGAGTTCTAAGCATACTGGATTCACAATCTAAACACTATCCAGCCACACGGACTCAATATACGGGTAGAGATTCCGGGATGGATGGAAGACAGTAATCACCTTCCCACCAGCATGGTATACACGCAAGGGTAGCGGGTGGCTCGGTTTACCTTTTTATAACTTAATTTTAAGGATAGATTCGTAACAGAGAAACAAACAATAAGAAATATTCTGACAAAACAGTTTGAACGATTCTATGATTCTGTGTAGTCAAAGCTTCTGGATATAGGCCTACAACTTTGTTATGAAATTGCACCAAGTTATTATGAATATGCCTCTGGCTTTGCAAGCCTCGTCTCCCCTTTTAAATACACAATTGGTGACGTCTGTCACGTGTCTCTCTTATCATTAGCTCATCTGACGAAGTCAGATGCAGCTTGTAGAATCGCATTCATGAGCGTGGGTCCGTCCGTGCTTCAACAGTTGGGCACAAATCTTAACCGCTCGACGTACGGTCACGATATTCGGGACGTCGGGTGGGGGGGGGATTGTGTATAACAAATCGTCTATACCCACACGTATTTGTTACCAGATACCTAATTTAATTGTTATAATTAATTACACATCAACGCTACGAAATTTGAACGGCGCCATGACACCCGCGACCGTGCTGCCACCCCGAAAAAGTTACGTATTTGACAATTTTGCACGTTACAGACTGAGGGCTAATCACAAAAGTGCAATTATATTTATACCTAAATGCTATTTAAAGGCATAATTCGACCATCGATTATGCAAAGTTGACGAATGCTACAGTAACTGGCACCTTGTGTAGTTAATAAGTACATTACCTT